GTTGCCAAGGGGAGGGGGGTGGGGGAGGAATGGATTGGGAGTTTGGGATTAGCAGATGCACACTAGTATATATTGGATGGATAAGAAACAAGGTCCTACTGTATAGCACAGGGAACTATATTCAATGTCCTGTGATAAACGGTAATGGAAAAGAATATGAAAAACAATTGTATATATATATATGTATAACTGAATCACTGTGCTGAACAGCAGAAATTAACACAACATTGTAAATCAACTATACTTCAAGAAAAATAAAATAAAATAAAAAGAGTTAGGACTTCCCAGGTCATCCAGTGGGTAGGACTCCACGCTCCCACTGCAGGGGGCTGGGGTTTGATCCCTGGTCGAGGCACTAGATCCTGCACGCATGCCACAACTAAGAAGTCTGCATGCTGCAACTAAGACCTGGTGCAGCCAAAATATATAAATTAAAAGAAAAAAGAAAAAACAGAAGAGTTAATCAGTGTCTTAAACACAAAGAGGGCAGAGTGGAGGGAACCAGGTCTGGGTGGGCGTCAGCCACCATGGACCCAGCAGGAACACAGCCTGGAAAAGCAGGCCTGGGAGGTTTCTGCATTAGTCACCCACCTCGGCAGGGAAGTGATTTTCAGACCTGAAGCCAAGGGTACAGCTCCTGAATGGAAAACAAGGAACAATCCAACCAGACGAAATTCACATCTGGGTGGCTGGCACACCAGCCTGAGGCAAAGTGATGGAGACCCCATATTGTGCCGTTTCATTGCTATGAAATGTCCAGCACAGGCAAATCTATAGAGACATTAGATTTGCAGCTGCCTGAGACAGGGTGGGAACAGAGACTCGCAGTAGATGGGCAGAAGATTTCATTGGGAATGGCAGAAATGTTCTAAAACAGGAGGATGCTAAGTGTTACAGAAAATGGTAGATTTACTAAAAATGACTGGATCATATGTGCACTTGAGATGGGAGAATCCTATCAGAGAGTTTGGTGTTCAGAAGTAGGAAAGGTGGACTTCCCTGGTGGCGCAGTGGGTAAGAATCCGCCTGCCAATGCAGGGGACACGGGTTTGAGCCCTGCTCCGGGAAGATCCCACATGCCACGGAGCAACTAAACCCATGCACCACAACTACTGAGCCTGTGTGCCACAGCTACGGAAGCCCGCGCACCTAGAGCCTGTGCTCAACAAAGAGAAGCCACCGCAATGAGAAGCCCGCAGACTGCAACGAAGAGCAGCTCCTTCTCAAGGCAACTAGAGAAAAGCCCACGCACAGCAACGAAGACCCAACACAGCCAAAAATAAGTAAATTTTTTTAAAAAGTAGTTTAAGAAAAAAAAAAAAAAGGAAGTAGGAAAGGCTGTACTGGGCCCCTGTGCCAGGGTGCCAGGAACTCCCAGCCCCAGGGCACCGAGGAGCAATGATGGATGGGAGGGGAAGGGATTAGAACATTGATTAAAACAAACATTTTAATCTGGCCTCAGGGATGCATTAAACCGGGATGGAACAAGAGGCCATAAGGACAGAATTGCCTAGGTGTGCCACCTCCCAGGGCTTTCCCCTTCACCTACAAGCTTTACTTAAGAAAAAAAAAAAAAAAAGGTTTTTACTTGAAAAAAATATTTTTAGTGTACTAAAAACAGGAGGAAAAAAAAGGACAAAACAAGAATATTTGCTAATTTGAGAGTGTGAGTGGTCCGGTGTGTGCTCTACTGTTTTCTGTTTCTTGGGGGTTTTTTTTGGTTTGGTTTTGTTTTTGAATTTCTGAATTTTATTTTATTTATTTTTTATACAGCAGGTTCTTATTAGTTATCTATTTTATACATATTAGTGTATATATGTCAATCCCAATCTCCCAGTTCATCCCACCACCCCCCCGCCCCTTTCCCCCCTTGGTGTCCATATGTTTGTTCTCTACATCTGTGTCTCTATTTCTGCCCTGCAAACCGGTTCGTCTGTACCACTTTTCTAGGTTCCACATATTTGGGTTTTTTAACTTTTGAAAATTAATCCAAGGGCCCGGTACGTGACCTAGGTGCAGGGACCCTGGAGAAGCGACATCGGTAGCTGTGCAGTTAAGATTGTTATTTCAGTTTAGGTCTCCTCCTCCCCACAGTTTCCTCAGGCCACAGGGCTAGTAGGAGGTTCGTTGTCTTTCATATATAAAAGCAAATTGAAGTAGCAATTATTCCCCCCCCCCACCTCTACCCCCTCAGTGACAGTCCTTGATGTCTATCTGGATGTTTCTTTCCTTCTAGGGCCTTTCTGGTGTATTAGGGATCCTGCCCCTGCCCCTCCCCCAGCCCAAAGGGCTCTCCATTTCCTCTCAGCACGTCTGGAGGGCTAAACTCTCCACTGCTGGTACCTGCCTTGCCAGGGACCTCCCTCGGTCTCCACCCAGTTTCCTGGGGACATCCTTGGTGTCTAACCCCGGGCTGGCCGAGGGAAGCTCCTGGCAGACTGAGGTGTGTGCCTGAGTCTTGGGCCCTGCATCCCACACCTGGCACAGTCCAGAACCACTAGGATAGGGCTGGGCTTGGAGACCTGAACACTGGGCTTCCCCCGTGGACAGTGGCTGGCACGGCAGGAGGTTGGAAAGAGGCTGGGGACCCTGGTTGAGCTGGGAGGAGGGGCTGAGCCTCCTGACTGCTGACATAAACTGTAGGGGCTTCCCTGGCCGTCCTGTGGTGAGGATTCCATGCTCTCAGTTGCGGGGGGTGGGGCACGTGTTTGATCCCAGGTCGGGGAACTGGGATCCCTCAAGCCGTGCAGTGCGGCCAAAAAATAAGCAAATAAATAAAACGAAAACTCTGTGTGTGTGTTGGGTGGCTGGGGGTGGTGGCCTGCCTCCCCGCTCAGGAGGCCCAGTCATGTGGGAGCTCAATTTCCTCTGCTCCTTTCATGTGTCTGTGATAGCCCTGAGCTCTCGGCTTCTTCCCTTCAGTGTGGCCTTCTCATCCCCACCGCCTCCAAGACTCTCAGACCTGGTCGGGAGCTTGCCATATTGGCAGGCCACACGGGCCCACCCCTGGCATCTTAAACCTGCGTCCTCAGCCACACTATTTATTCTTCGAGATGCTCCCACAATCACAGGCCAAGGTCTTTGGAGAGAAAAGCAAAATAGACATTTTCTGGGCCTCCCTGGTGGTGCAGTGGTTGGGAGTCCGCCTGCCGATGCAGGGGGGTGTGGTTTCGTGCCCCGGTCTGGGAGGGTCCCGCGTGCCACGGAGCGGCTGGGCCCGTGAGCCGTGGCCGCTGAGCCTGCACGTCCGGAGCCTGTGCTCCGCGACGGGAGAGGCTGCGACAGTGAGAGGCCCGCGTGCCGCAGAAAAAAAAAAAAGACATTTTCTGAAGGCTTGTATCGCTGGAGGCCACTGCTCCCATCTCCTTTGCAGCCTGAGAGGGGTCGGGGCTTGGGTGTTTCCTCTTGTCTCTCACACTCCTTCAGGACCAGGTCCTCCATCGCACCCTCATCTGCTGAGAACGTTTCTGAAGCCGCGCGTGTCCTCTCCTTCCTACCCTGACTCTGCCCGCACCTGGCCTCCCCTGCTGAGGTCTGAGCCGCCACTGCTGCCTTCGGGACCTCTTATGTGTGCTGCCCCACTAGGTCCACTGTCCTCCCATTTGGGTCGCAGTGGCAATAGTTGTCTGTCAAGGTGAAGGACACAGATGAACCCCTAGTCTCACAGGTCGAGGTGGGCACAGCAAGGGGCCTGTGAAGCCAGAGAGGAATGAACAGCGATAGGAACTGGGTAGAGGAGGTTGGATGGAAGAAGACCCAGTGAGCCGGGCAGGCCATCGTGGAGGACTTAGATTCTGAACAACGACAATGAGGACAATGAGGCCACGGGACTGGGATTTTAAGGAGGTTCCTCGGGGCATGGGCCATGGAATGCTTCCCACCTGGCACATCCCCTCCCTTCCCTGCCTGGAACACGTCTACAACACAGCCGCTCGCTCGGCAGCTGCCTGAGGCTGGCATGCTGACCTTGTCCTCATACTGGCAGCAGAGAAGTCAGCCCCTCCACTCTGGACTCCACACCTGCTGCACAAGGCATGGGGTCCACTGAGGTCTAGGCACCGCTCCCCCCCGACTCCCCTCCTTCCTTCAGCCCCCATGAGTAGGGCACAAGGCCCAGCCAGCCCACCACTGCAGCCTCACCATCTAGTGGGCCTGGTTCACGGATGTCCTGGACAACCAGCCCCACCTCAAGGCCCTTGCGGATCACGGCTGTTCCTCTGCCCAGACAGCTCTTCCCACAGATTCTGTCCCCTTAAGTGTCTTCTGGTCTTTGGAGTCTGGCTGTTCACCACCCTCCGGGCAGACGTAGGACCCAGCTCACACACATACACACACCCCCACTCCCCTTCTTTTCTCAGCTTCGGCCCAGAGTGTGGCATGCAGAGGGAACTAAGTGAACACTACTCGCCCTGGGGCAGGTGGGCCTGGTGTAGGGGCATCGAGTCTGGCTGCCTCCATCTTCTACCTGGGATCCAGGCTCAGGGCCGGCCCGAGTTGGCGTCCGCTCCCACATCCCACTTGCAGCCCCCAGGCCCCACTCGGGCTGGAGTCCCACACCAGGGGCGAGCCCTACTGCTGCTCCATCCATATGGGTGGAAGGCTGGGGTGCAGTGGGGTTTAAACCTGCCGGGACCCGCCGGGGTCTTCGGAGCCGACCGCCCTCCCACCCTCTTTCCCTCTCACCTTCTTCCGCCCCTTAGCACAGGCGAGTGGGTGCGGCCCACAGATTGACGGCACAGGTTCCGCCCCCGCCCCGTCTCTAGGGCGACACTGCCTGGTTGTCCCAGCCCCTGTGACTTTGCTCGGAAGTGCGACCTTGCAGCGGCGACTAGTCTCCATGGAGACACCGGAAACTTGCTCTGACCTAGTAGTTCGCCGCGCCGCTACAGCGGCGGACTTTGGTTCCGCCGGCGTTGCGGCCCGGAAGTGCGGCCTTGAAAGTGGTGAGCTGGAGGCGGCCACCGCCCGGCCTGGTGCCTGAGGAGGAGCCGGAGGTGGGGTCAGGCGGGCATCCCCCTGCCGCAGGGCCGGCGGGGAGGCCGGGGCGTGCCAGGGGAGGGGCGCCCGCGCTAGGCTTGGAGCGCGCGCCGCAGACGTGAGGGGGCGCTGCAGGACGGGGGCACTTCGCGGGCAAGAGCGCGGAGGCGGGAAACCTAGTCGGCTGGGGCTGGGGCGGGCGCAGCCGGGGCAGGTCAGAGAAGGGGGTGCTGGACTCAGGGTGAGGCGCGGGCAATGGCGCAGAGAACGGGAGAGGGTGCTCGGAGCAAAGTGCATGGCGTGGGCAAAAGCGTGGTGGCGAGGACGCCTGGGTGCAGCGTCTCAAGGTGGGCCTTTGTTCCGAGGCGCCCAGAGGCTCTGCTGCACCTGCACTATAGTTGGAGCCTGCTGGGGAGCACGGCGGGGGTGGATCGGAAAAGGAAGGGTTCAGTCCCTACGGATTGAGGCGCAGGTTTCTGCCCCCGTTGCCCGGGCACGGATTTGAAGTCCTTTAGGTGCTGGGTGAAAAAAGACGGTGAAGGGTGCTTGTGGCAGAGGTAACGGTACGTGCGGAGTTGGCCTGTTTAAGGAATTGCCTGGAGAGCTCTGAGCTAAGGAGGGTCCCGAACTGTTAGATCTGAACAGGCTCCCTCTGGCTGTCGCGTCGGGAATAGACCGGGAGGTGGGGGGACGCGAGGAGGTTACTGGGGCAGTGGAGGTGTGCAAAGTGGTCTGAGGCGTCAGATATGGATCATGAATGGCCCCAGCAAAGGAAAGGATGTTTGGGCTTAAGGCGCCCGAGGGGGTGAGTCTGAGACCGAAGTAGACCCCGAGGAGTTAAGAGAGGCCTCACCTGAGCCAGGCTGGCGCAGAGTGGGTGAGTCTCAGGGTGTGTCTTTTGTCCTGACTGATGCTTCTCCCCTAGACTGGAGGTGTGTGTGGCCTGGGTGTGGGGTGAGCCAGGTATCTAAGACAGAGGGGAAGCTGAGGCCAAGCAAGCATGTTGCCTGTTTGTTGGTGAAGTAGCTGAGCTTCTCAGATTCCCATTGTTCCCAGGGGGGTGGTACCCCTTTCCCTTTCCAGTGCCTGAGGCTGGGCAGTGCTGGGATTTCGAGGCCGCAGTTTAACAAGAAGTGTCCATATTGCTCAGCCATGCTGATCTTGAGGCCTCTGCCGCTCGACCTGCACCCAACCAATCACACACCCCTGCACAGTCCACAAGCCCCCTCTCTATGCCTCACCCACACCCTGCGCCCCACAGGCCCAATCAAGATTCCAGGAAGCATCAGGCTGCAGGAGGCGTCTCCCGCTAGCTGTGCTGGAGCGGGCCAGAGACCATGTATTTTCCTCCCGCAGGGCACCTGCTAGGCTAATGCCCAATCTAGTCTCAACTCTGTGTGACTATGCACACCCCGAATCGCTTAGCCCCAGAGGCGGTTCATGCCAGCCACACCCCTGCGAAGACTTCCATATACACTAGTTAATGTAGCCAGGTTCCGAGGCAGCAGACCTCGGTCTGCACAGGGCCTTGGATGTTCCAAGGTTGGGGGCTGTATCAAGGGGAGATCAAAAAGAAGCCACTCGTGGTGGGAGTCGCAGCCAGCAGGGTGGGGAGTGGGTGAGACGTGGAAGCCTGTTCTAGATAGGGGTCCCCGCCCTCTCCTCCACAGGGTGTCGTGTCAGAGGAGGATGTGGGGAAGGCTATGGATACCAGAGTTCCGGGAAGGGTGGGTGGGGCAAAATAGGGGAAGCGAGCCCTGGAACTCCCCACGCTGGCAGTAAGCAAGACCGGAGGGCAGCAAACCTTTGGTATCCCCAGCCCTCTCACAGCGGTGTGCTGTGGACTTCAGAGGTAGAGGGGGCTGCAGAAGTCCTGGGGCGGGGGCAGGGAGTCCTGCTGTGTTGGGAACCAGGACTTCGAGGGGCCAGGGGCATTGGAGAAGGTTGGGGTTCCTGAAGCCTGGGGGTGTGGTTCACCCTTGGGCCCTGTCCCGCTGAAGGGATGGGAACGCTGGGGCAGGGGGGGATCCCTGGCTGACTTCCTCTTGCCCACACCCGCTGGTCCGGTGCAGATGGCGGCAGCGGAGGCGGTGCACCACATTCACCTGCAGAACTTCTCCCGATCCCTGCTTGAGACCCTCAACGGGCAGCGGCTGGGTGGGCACTTCTGTGACGTGACTGTGCGCATCCGCGAGGCTTCACTGCGTGCACACCGCTGCGTGTTGGCCGCCGGCTCGCCCTTCTTCCAGGACAAATTGCTGCTCGGCCACTCTGAGATCCGCGTGCCGCCTGTGGTGCCCGCGCAGACGGTGCGCCAGCTCGTCGAGTTCCTCTACAGCGGCTCGCTCGTGGTGGCGCAGGGTGAAGCGCTGCAGGTGCTCACGGCCGCGTCGGTGCTGCGCATCCAGACGGTCATAGACGAATGCACGCAAATCATAGCCCGCGCCCGCGCCCCTGCCCCGGGCCCCCCAGCGCCCGCGCCCCTGCCCACGCCCGTGCCCCCGCCGCTCGCGCCCGCGCAGCTGCGCCACCGCCTGCGCCACTTGCTGGCCGCGCGCCCCCCGGGCCACCCCGGTGCCGCGCACACACGCAAGCAGCGCCAGCCCGCGCGCCTGCAGCTGCCCGCGCCCCCCGCGCCTGCCAAGGCGGAGGGATCGGATGCCGACCCCGCCCTGACCGCTGCGCCAGACGACGGCGCGGACGACGACGACGACGAGACCGATGAGGAGACCGACGGCGAGGATGGCGAAGGCGGCGGCCCGGGTGAGGGCCAGGCGCCCCCTTCTTTCCCCGACTGCGCCGCCGGCTTCCTACCCGCGGCCGCGGACGGCGCGCGCGAGGAGCCGCCTGCGCCCGCCGGCCTCTCCGATTACGGTGGCGCCGGGCGGGACTTCCTCCGGGGAACTTCGGCTGCCGAGGACGTGTTCCCCGACAGCTACGTCTCCGCTTGGCAAGACGGAGATCAAACCGCCCCTGAAGGCTGTCCCGCCGAGACCCCTGCCCCGCCCGACTGTGTCCTATCCGGACCCCGCCCACCTGGCGTGAAGACCCCCGGGCCGCCCGTCGCGCTTTTCCCCTTTCATCTGGGCGCTCCCGGGCCGCCAGCGCAACCCCCTCCCGCGCCCTCGGGGCCGGCCCCTGCGCCCCCACCCGCCTTCTACCCAGCGCTCCAGCCGGACGCAGCTCCCAGCGCGCCTCTAGGGGAGGCCCCGGCCCCACCGGCCGCTCCCAGCGCAGCCCCGTCGACCACCCCTGCGCGCGCCCCGGGTGCCGAGCCGCCCGCCTATGAGTGCAGTCACTGCCACAAGACGTTCAGCTCCCGGAAGAACTACACCAAGCACATGTTCATCCACTCGGGTGAGCCGGGCTGGGTCTCTGAGCCCCTCGATCATTGGAGATAGGCTTTTTGTTAATACTTGATGACCCTAGGGGTCAAACACGGCCTGTCTCCCCCTGTCTGATTCAGGGGGAGGGGGCAGCCTACTCTGTCACCCCTGGAACATGATAGCAGCCAGAAGGGAGGGGGTAGGTATGCCGGGGTCTTTCCCAGTGTAAGCGTGCTGGGCCTTGCTAGACTGTCCCCAGAATGGTGGCCAGCGACCAGACAGTCCAGAACGCTCTGTGAGCGCGGCAGGGATGGGGGAGGGGTAGCCCGCGGCCCTGTGCCAGGCACGGTACGGTTTGGGGGCGGGAAGGTCCTTGGAGGTGGGGGTAGACCTGAGTGGTCAGCCTCAGTGGGCAACGATGTCCCAGACCTGCGGGGTTCCCCGCTGGGAGGCTACCTGTTGGAGTTGTGGGTCACAGACTGGCAGTGACATCCCGGTATGACCCTAAGGTTCGGGGAGAGGGGCGTCGCTGCCGGGCGGGGGGATTCCGGATGGATGGCTGGTCCGGTTGGGGAGGGGAGTCCCTGCCTGGCAAAGGCGCCCCGGGGCCCTTCCCCAGCTGACCTGAGTTTGCTGCCCGCCCTGTCGCCCGCAGGGGAGAAGCCCCACCAGTGCGCCGTGTGCTGGCGATCCTTCTCGCTGCGCGACTACCTGCTCAAGCACATGGTCACGCACACGGGCGTGCGCGCCTTCCAGTGCGCCGTCTGCGCCAAGCGCTTCACGCAGAAGAGCTCGCTCAACGTGCACATGCGCACCCATCGGCCGGAGCGCGCGCCGTGCCCCGCCTGCGGCAAGGTCTTCTCGCACCGCGCGCTGCTGGAGCGCCACCTGGCCGCGCACCCTGCGCCCTGATCCGGGCATGGGGCCTGGCCACGCCCACCGAGGGATCGGTCAAGCCCCACCCGCTGTCACGCCTGCCGCGGCCACTTGACCACGTTCCCGCCACCAGCCCACGCTTTCTCCTGAGATCAGGCCCTTCTCCTGCTTCCACCCTTCTCTCCAGCCCAGCCCGCCTTTTTCCTCTCCTCCTACGTACTCAGCCCTCCGGGTGGGGGCTGGCTGGGGATGGTCAGGGACCCGACCACCTCTGAGAACTGGATCATCTCCAACCTGAACTAGGGCTCAACCACGGTGCGGGGCCCAGGATTCATGGCTCCGACTCTGGTTCACGCCCCTCCCCTCCCATGAGTGGGGTGGGGTCTGCTCCCCTGCCCCTGTGTCAGGCCGGGAAATGTCCCCAGCTCCCCGACCCGAGCTAATCCTCCCTCATCTGGCGCCTGGGGCGTCTCAGGTGGGCCCATCATGGACTGAGGCGTGGTCTTGGGACCCCTGCTCTGTAATAAAGGACTGTGGGCCGTGGGGCCGAAAGCTGGAAGCGTGTGCTCCCGGACCCGTGTGTTCCTCTTCCTCACAGACCGTCTGTGGGTGTTGGGCCTCAGTGCCCCTGTCCCTGGCAGCATCCCTGCTGCTCCCTGGGCTCCTTTGGGCTGCGAGCGGATGATCCGCTTTGCCATCTCGCGTCTCTGTTCTCTGGGTGGGAGTGGGGTGCACGTATGACTGGCGCTTGACTCTCCCAGAGCCCTCGGTCCTGTGGGGAGGGGTACAGGCGGGTCTCGGAGAGGGAGGCCACGTGTGGGAAATTCGCAGCCACAATCCCAGCTGCTGCCACCCAAGATAAAGATTTCGAGGCCCCTCCCCCCATATCTTCCAGACAGAATCTCTAGCCTTCAGAGTTCTCCTCCCCTGTCCTGATGGGCATGATGGTTGAGCACCTCACTTTTGGGGGTCCAGGGGGTCTTTGGGGCCAGGCTGCCACTAGGGGGTCCGAGCCCCAGGATAGCTGTCCTGGCCGGCAAGGTCGGGAGTGCCAGGCAGGGCTGGGGTGGGGGCAGGGCAGAAAGCGGCAGCCGGGACCCTTGGGCCGCCCATTGGGCTGCGGAGGATGGCCAACCAGTGTCAGTTCGAGGCTACTCTCCGCGTGCCCCCAACACACTGTCGGCACGTGGCCTGGGCACCCTGGTCCAAAGTATCTGGAGCCGGTGAGGGGGGTGTGGCCTGTAGGGCACTCCAGTAGCCCAGCTTGCTGTGATCCTAGGCCAATGGCAACGTTTCTCTGTGCTACCCCCTGTGACTGCCTCCCAGAGGAGGGGGGCTAAGGCTTTCCTGGTCCAACCGTGCATAGACTGCCAGACCCACATTCCAGGCAGAGTTCAGCCTCCTGAACCCTAAGCATGGTCCCCATTGATGCCAAGGGTAAGGCAGAGAGTCAGAGTGGACCACATGGGTTGGGGGTCAGAGCTGGGTTTGAATTCGGGCACTGCAGGTGTTCAAGGGCTTACTGAGCACCTGCTGTGTACCTGGCAGGAGGCTGGGGGCTCATCCCAGCCAGGCCCCATCTCCCGGAGGATTCAGATTAAGTAGTTGCCACAGGAGAACTTCCTGGTGAGGTTTGCAGATGGGAAGGCAGTGCTTACAACCAGAGCTGCCCTGCTATCCTGCTGAATTTGCATTTGGCATGGCTGGAAGTTCAGTTTCCTGATAGAGGGTTTTCTGCCTATTTCCCAAGTGCCTGGGCCACAGCGTGGGGGACAGAGGCAGAGGGGCTGGAGCCACGCGGAAGACCAGGCAGAGTGAAACAAACAGTTGGGGTTAAAAAGGGCTGGAGGCAGAGTCCTGGAGCCACCACCATGGCCAGCAGCCTCTGGGTCACCGCCAGGGGGTGGGGCTGACGGGTTATCAGCCCGGGCAAGAGGTGGGCATTCCTGGACGTGTCCCTGAGGCAGGAGCAGGTACGATGGGCATCTGGGGACGACTGGCCTTCTTGCTGTTGCTGCTGCAAGGCCTGGGGCAGTCCTCATGGCCTGCAGCAGTGGCCCTGGCTCTGCGCTGGCTCCTGGGAGACTCTGCCTGCTGTGCGCTGCTGGGCCCGGCTGTGCTGGCGTGGCCCTGGCTCGGGCCCTGGATGCCCCACTGGCTGAGCCTGGCGGCCGCGGCCCTCACACTGGCTCTGCTGCCCAAGCAGCCGCCCCCAGGGTTGCGCTGGCTGCCTGCAGACCTGGCCTACATCTTCAAGGTTCTCCGCCTGGGCCTGAACATCCGGGCGCGCTTGAGCCGCCAGCCACCTGACACCTTCGTAGATTCCTTCGAGCGGCGGGTGCGAGCGCAGCCAGGGAGAGCGATCTTGGTGTGGACGGGGCCGGGGAGCCGCTCGGTCACCTTCGGGGAGCTGGACGCCAGGGCCTGCCGGGCGGCGTGGGTCATGAAGGCCGAGCTGGGCGGCGCCACGGGACCCCACGCTCAGGAGCCCACCGCCCTCCTCGTGCTGCCCTCGCAGACCATTCCTGCCCTGGGCCTGTGGCTCGGGCTGGCCAAGCTGGGCTGTCCGGTGGCCTGGATTAATCCACACGGCCGGGGGGCGCCCCTGGTGCACTCGGTGCTGAGCTCTGGGGCTCGGGTGCTGGTGGTGGACCCAGGTGAGGACCTCAGAGACCAGCGGAGGTCGGATGTGGTGGGGACAGGGGCAGGAGACAGACGTGGAGGATTGCTGTTCAGAGGGTCCTGGTGGGGGCTGGGCAAGAGCTCCGCGTCCCTCACCCACCCCCAGGCAATTAGGGCCAAAACTTAGTTGCTGGGAAGTAATTCTGAGGGCACCAGGGCTTTGCTTTGTGTTTTCTTCAACATGGCTATTTCAACTTTTTTGCCCCCCAATACTAATTACGGGGTTCTTTACAGATAAGGCAGATGCTCTTCTCTGCTGGCTGCTTCCTCCATGGCCGGCAGTGGGCTCCTCTCCCACATCTCGGGTCCCCCCCACCACCTCAAAGGTGGGCCGCCTCTAAATTCCTCCTCTGGCCCATTCCCACAGACCTCCGCGAGAACCTGGAGGAGGTCCTTCCCAAGCTGCAGGCAGAGAACATCCGCTGCTTCTACCTCAGCCATTCCTCCCCCACGCCGGGGGTGAGGGCTCTGGGGGCTGCCCTTGATGCTGCACCCTCAGACCCCGTGCCCGCTGACCTTCGAGCTGAGATCAAGCTGAGAAGCCCAGCCCTGTTCATCTACACCTCGGGGACCACCGGTGAGGGCGCCCAGCAGTCCTAGCCCAACCTCTGAACCCTTCTGCTGACATGACTCCAAGCCTGACCTGTGCCTCAAACTTGACCTCTGAAACCCACCCTGCCCTTTGATTTTGACACCTGGCCGAACTCTGACCCCCAGTGTTATTTGAATGGTCAGTGCCAGAATCCTGCCTCTGCCCAGTAAACAGCCACTGAAACCCTGAACTTTGGAATTCAGCCTCTGAACTCCAGTCCAACGTGTCCTCCCTAAACCCACCCACAGGTCCCATACTTGACCACCTTTCGAGAGCCTCAAACCCCTGGCTGTGCAGACCTGATCCTGGAGACCCACTCCCGCGTGCGGGTCCCTCTAGCGCTGTCCGCGCACCACCCCACTCTTCCCATTGCTTCTTCCCCCAGGGCTCCCGAAGCCAGCCATCCTCACGTACGAGCGGGTGCTACAGATAAGCGGGATGCTGAGCCTGTGTGGGGTCACAGCTGATGACGTGGTCTACACGGTCCTGCCTCTGTACCACACGATGGGGCTGGTCCTTGGGGTCCTTAGCTGCCTGGAGCTTGGTAAGCCCTTCGCTGAGGACCACCCCCCAATCCACAGGACTGCCAGACTTGATGTCAAGGCCCCATAGGTTACCCAGCACCCCAGGTTCTTACCTTTGACAAGGGACAGTGAGCCCCAGGGCTACCTGGACAGAGGGCTGGACACCCAGACAGTCCTTAATGGCTGTGCTGTGGTCGGGAGGTGAAAGAGCTGATGTGAGTGTCGGTCACTCATATCCGTCATCGTCACAGGCGGAGCCAGTGAGGGAACACTCACCAAACATTCCATCTGGTTGTCGTCTCCCTAGACACCTGACCATGAATTCTGTCAACAGACTGCGCTGGTCTGTTTTTTTTTGTTGTTGTTGTTGTTTTTTGTTTTTTTTTCCCTGAAATTTTAACATGGAAAATTTTGAAATATAAAAATTTCTAAAATTCTCTACATGTATCCTCAAGTACTCACCACCCAGCTTCAGCCACCATCAGCATTCTGCTCTTCTGTGTTTTGTTTATCGCCTCCCCCTTATTCCCACTTGTCTTTTTACTCATACTTTATTTAAAAAATTTAAGTCATGGACAATTTCAAACATACACTAAAGCAGAGCAGTCAGCTTGATGATGCTTCCCATATCCTCACCCAGCCTCAACAATTGTTAACATGTTGCCAATTTTATTTCATATGTACTCCCTTCCTTCTTTCTGGATTATTTTGGAGCAAATCCTAGGCACTATCTTTTTGTTGGTAAATATTGCAGTATGTATCTCTAACAGGCAAGGCCTTAAAAAACTGTAACCAGAGTGATCGTCACACCTGAAGAAATTAACAGGAACTCTTTGATATTATCTGATGTGCACTTCATGTTAAATTTTCCCCAATTGTTTTACTGTCTTTTGGCAGTTAAACTGTTATTGTACTTGCTTGCTTGGTCTCCCTCCCACACTTCCTGGTAGACTAGATGTTCACTCTAGAGATGTTTTCAGATTCAGTCCAAGTATTCTTGACAAGAACCTTGGTGGCTGCAAAGTGCCTCCTGATTTGTCACGTTGGAGGCTGCTCAAAACTGGGATCCTACCTTAGGCTAAGAAGAATTGGGAAGCTTTCATTGGAAAAATCCTTATCAACCTCCCCCCTGGCTTTAGCAGCTCTTGAAGACCTTTCCAGCATCCAGGCATCTCACGAGGGGCTGCTAACAAAGCTATCGGTTTCAAGGACCCAGCATCCATTTTCACAGAGAGGGCATTATATTTCACCTCTGTCAAGATACAGCCTCGAAGAAGACACACTTGCCGCCTCACCAAGCACACGAGCCATCGTCCCTTTGGGTGCAGGGATGACATTTAGCTTTCGGGTTTTGTTGAGGATTAGGGTTGAGGTAAGGAGAGTGCCATCCATGGAGCCAGCTGCAGAGGAGGGGATCAGAAAAGGAGGGAGCAATTTCCTGGAGTGGATGTAGTGGCCCCTAAGATGTATTAATCCATGTGTCCATCCTTCAGAACATCCATATATCCATCCACCAACCCACCCATCCATCACCCATCCACCCTTCCACCCACCTTTCCATCCACCTACCCATTCACCCATCTATCCATTTGCCGAGCTAGACATTCCTAAGACAGTTATCACAATCAAGAGTGATTCCTACTCACAGCCCTTATTCGGCAGTGCTCACTTTGTACCAGGCACCGAGCTTTCCACACATACTGGAGACGGGATTCAAACTCAGGCTTGGCTGTGCTCTTCTCATGGGAATAGTTCTGG